ATTTTCCAAAAAACCCTATATATTGTATTTATATATTATAAATGATATAATTATTTTTTATTTTATACCATTATATGACTATTGTTAATTGCAGATCATAATTAATTTATTCCAATTTAAATCGTTTGTTTTATATGTTTATTAAGAATTAGAATACAAAAATTTTATTCTAAGCTATCCTGGAAAGTATTGCATAGTATTATCTATCTATATGCATCAATAAATTCGTTATCGATATAATAATTTTAATTTTTAAGACTAGTAGTATTTGAATTTAAAATACTAATTCAGTGTTTTTGTTTTAAAATGTTCTTTGGTATTCATCGATCAAATTGAATCCAACATTCTTTCTCACCACATTCTTCTGTGGTTTCACTTTAATGTACCAGAATTAGTAACTATAAAAAAAGATACTTTGTTCTGAAATAAGAAAATTGTGTGCTGACTGGAAAGTAAAAGTGATCTTCTTAACGCTGAACTGATCACATTATGAGAGTCTAAAGGCATTTCACTCTTAGTCTGCCTAAGTGGTAGATACTAAGGCAGATAAAATTACTATTATTTTGTAAGAAATTTGTAACACTTCATTATCAGTACTTTGACGAGTGCTGATTTTCTAGTTAGAATTCTAAATGATAGGGCTTCATGTTTGTGAATACACTCGAACTTTTTTAAATTGAAAGTTTGAAATGGAAATGAAATTTGAAATGGAAACTTAATAAAGTATAAATTCAGTAATTGTTTTGGTTTTAAACATAATCTTTTATAGAAAAAAAGTACATAAACGTTGATTTAGGCTGATATATATCAGTTGCTTTAAATGAAGTACATTACACATTTTTTATTATTATTGGAAGGTTGAAGAATGCTATAAAATACAACACATCAAATCAAACAGCCTTATTGAATACTTTTTATTTTTTCTTATATTTCTTTTCTCTTTATAGTTAATAAAACCACGTTGAATTAAAGACATGCTTATTATTTTGTAGACTCCTAACAGGTTATGGACCCAGGAGCATATGTTACTATTAAATTTCATCCGATAATAAGTTAATTTTACATATTTTTTAAACAATTTTAGTATGAAATATTAATTTTATTAATAAGATAGCTATTGACTATTCGTTATCGATATAAAATTTTAATTTTTAAGACTCGTAGTATTTGAATTTAAAATCAAATTAAATAAAAAATTATACCTGTGTTCTTACGGTAAAAGTCTGCACTATTAAAGTATTCATTTGTCTGTCCTAAAAGCAATGTCCCTGTTTTAAGACTACGGTCATCATAAGATCTAGAGTTCTGCTCTGGACCTACTCTAAGAAACAAATACGAGTATTTGTGAAACACTGAACACAAAAGCATACTTGCAAATGCAGCTGTTGACATAACACCGAAATCGCTTGGATACTGTCCCTATCTGACTTCTCTAAATTTCGAAAATGTAGACCAATATTCTAATATTTACATTAATAACACAAAGAACCAATACTGGTTTCAAGCAAGCCTTTCAATATGATTATAATTTATTAAATCTGAATGACACAAAACCATACCTTTCTGGTCTAAAAAAACCAAATCGCTTTGTTCTTACATCGGAGAATCAGACACATAACGTTATTTATATTAGTATGATATGTTATCTGAACATCTTATTATATTTATTTTTATTTTTATATTAATAAAATATAATTAGTATATTTTAAGAATCTAACTCGTCAACTGTCATTACTTTCTAGTCCCTTAAATATATTATTTTCGTATATCTATATTACAAATAAATAAATAAAAACATGTTTACTTCCTCTTTTTCTATTTAAAAATATGATTCAAAAGTGATTTAAGAATAAAGACTTAAATTAAAAAAAGTCATTAAAGTCCAAATAAAGTAAATACATTTTCTTAAATTTAATTTTGTTTGTGTAAAATTATCACATAATATCCAATACCAAATTACCTAGTTACCAAGCTTGGTCTGAGCATCTGGTAATTTCACAAAACCAAATTATACTTTATATTTTATCAAATATGTATATATACCGTTAATGTTTGTTAATAAAACAAATTATAATAAATATTTTCTAATACGAAAAATTACAGGATTGTTAAGTAGTTTCTTTCCCGCCTTGAAATATTTTTAATTCTTACTTCGTGACGTTAATGTATCTTGTTTAAAACTATAAACAATAAATAAGTCTCTAAATCAATAATAGATATTGTCTTCAATAGTTTCAACCTTCATAGATAGATATAAAACCATACAATTGACATGAATTCAAAGCCCTTCGCATCACAATACATATTTTTTTTAAACATATAAATGAAATAATTTTATCTGCATTTGTTAAGCGAAAAATGCGATTGTAAATGCTTACTTACTTATAACATAGGCCTACATACAAACATATCTAAAAGGCATAAATATTTTATAAAAAAAAAAAAAAGATTACAGATACCAAAAGATTTACAAGTTCGGAAACTGGTTTCAAATCGGTGAGGAATGGCTCCACACTTACAACGTACACACATGCTTACACGTACATAACCCTTGGCTTCAAGCTGATCCTATTCCAAGTCCAACCTAAACCGCAAACTCCACATCGCTAAAGACTTACGGGTACACATAAAATCGTACCAGTCCACAAATTTACAAATTTATAAGCCAAGTTTAAGCATTTAAACAACAAATAAATAAGACAATTGCCAGCTCAAAGGGAGCTCTGACTAACAATGCCAAATCGAAATAAAATAAAGTGAAATAAAATAGAATGTGAAGAGAATCATTGAAATGCTTAAAACTAGTTTCGAGTTAATGAGTAGGTCTTCAATTGAGTGGATCTTAAGCTGAAAGAAATATGTATAAAAATAAATTAACATTTCTACTCAATTCCTCACTCAATATAATTTAAAAGAAAGAAAAAGTCTTTAGAATTACAACTCGTCTAACAAGTTTCCAGCCAAAGGCAATGTGGACTGTCTGTCTGTGGGGCAATATGACTGCTTCGGTTTTGGAGACTTGGAGAGCAGAGCATTTGCATTAACATAAATACAGCGGCTTATAAGCTGAGCTGCCGCTGTCTGATTAACATTGCCTTGCAGCTGTTAATTGTCGACTTCAATGCAAAAACTGGAAGAATAATTAAAACGATTAGCGAAAGGAAATAATTGCGCGTTTTTACTTCGTCATAATTAGTTTGTTTAGCATAAACGAGTCTATTTATTAAACAATGAATAAAAATGAAGTTTTGCTAATATAAACATAAATGACTCTATTTATTATACAATTAATAAGAAAATAGTTACACTATGTTTATATAAATTTTTTTCAAATAAATAAAATTTTACCTAAAATATAACAAAAGAAAACCAAACTTCATTTTATTAGTCATTTTTTATTTCGTGGTTCTGATTTGACAACACTGTTTCAATGACATGTGACATATGTACGTCAAATAGAACTGTCATCTTACGCATCATATGTTTACCAAAAAGCACAAACAAATTTAATATTAATTATATAATTTTAAGGAACGACAGCTTTTAAATGACATTTTATCGCATCAAACTTTTTTTTAATTAAGGAGATTAATTTTTTAATTCGTTACTATAAAAAAAAAATCGTCGCATCTGGGACTTATACATTATATATTAATACTTATACATTAATCTATTGTATCTTCTCTTACAATGAGACTAACAATAAGATTTAAAATCTTATGACTAATTACATAATATTACAATTTTTTGTATTAACTATACATTATATGTATATATAAAATAAAACAAGTAAACCTTATATCACAGACCTCACTTAAATCAATGGGTTAAATTTCATTGGAGTGAATGTTAAATGGTTTAAGTAGGCAATTAAGCTGTATCAGGTTACTAAAAAGTAGAGTGGGGTTTTTCTTGAAGCTATTGAATTTTAATTAATGGCTGGACAGTCAGCTCTTTATAGGCGCGAAATAATGGATAGAAGTACGAGATTCCTTGCTAAAGGGTTAACATATTCTGTCAGCCTTTTATTGTATAAAAAAACACAATTAAAGGCTGACAGAATATATTTTAGCCACATAATTTCTATTTTTTTTTGTTGACATAAAATTGCATATATGGGTACAAAACATATATGTGGTTTTAACAGGACGATGCCAGAACCCACACAAACCATCCTGATTTGGCTTTGTTGTGGTGTGAGAAATTGTCCAGGCATGTAATTTCACGTTTTGTAGGCATTAATTGGCGACCAAGATCATGGGATTTATTGTGTTCAGAAAACTTTTTTCAGAAATCTTATTATAATAATAGATTTTAGAATATAAGTCAAGCTATTCTATTCCAATTTATATTTCTAAAGAGTGAATTATTTTCAACTTCATCAGCTGCATGTTAATTATTGATTTTGGTCTGAACTACTCACTGCCATATCGCTAATCGAATTATCTCAGTTCAGCTACATTGGCTCATAATGTTTCGCCAACGGTGCAAATAAACTACGTCCTTTCTGTAATCTGTCGTTTATATCTGCTATTATATAGCCAATTTCAGTTAAAAAAACGACGGACAAAGCAACAAAATACTTTACAAAACTACATATTTTAGTTTCAACTACAATATTTTATTTAACATATAGAGTAACCTATCTTGTTAAAAAAAACTATGCCGAAATAGTACTAAGTACTGGAACAATTTATCTTAATAATAATAAGTTTTATTGGCATTTATTCTCAGGTGCTTATATTTAGCGATGGAAATACTTGGATCCGATCTACTCACGCTCAAAACCAATATTTGTATTTGTGATTACAAAATACTGTATTAGTTTATAATACAAACCAAGTTATCATGAAGAAGAAATTAGTCTTATACAAGTATCTATCTGTACATCGTAATTAGTACTAATTTTCGAATATATGGTATTTACATAAGTAAAAATAACTGTATTTGTATATTTCAAAATTTAATTTTTGCTTTCAATATCTCAAAATATATAAATTTTTGTACAACAAATTTTTTGTAAATTTACAATGTTGCATATATCCAAATGTTCGTCCAAATACAATATATCCTATTCAATTTGATAAAATATTGTATATAAATGGCTATTCAACCAAATATACGTTAAACAATTTGGTAGAAAGCACATCATTCTTTCATAAAAATAAAAAATAAAAGCGGAAAGGATTTACTCCCAATCCATGGGTTCTACTCCATCCATTTTTAACTTTGCAGCATCGTCAAGTTGTGCGACAGTCTTTGGTAGAAAAATAGGACTGTACGACAGTTCCCAATCCATGGGTTCAGGTTTATCGACCTCAGCTACCGTGTTTGTCATTTTTTTGAAGATACCAACAGATTTCGTGTCATTTACTGAAGTCCCAAAATTGAAACTTATTGATGCAGGTTGTTGATCCAATTTTCGCTCAAAAGTTACAGTTTTTGTCTCTTTACGGGCAGCTGTTGATGGTTGATATCCTGAAAAAAAATTAAAACTTTGCACACCAAAATCCTTCGCTTTAACATCTGTGTTTGCAGTGTATACATCATTTGGTGGCTGCGACATCTTTTTAAAATGACTCAATTAATTGCTTGGCACAATAAACTATATACTCGTAATAATCTTTTTAGAATAACTTACGACTGGAACTTCTGGAAAACCTTCTACTCTATTTATAACCAAGGTAGAATTTTCAACATGAGAGACTTCGTATTTATCTTGACCCTTATAAAATTTTGAATAAGTTCTCATTTCATAAAAAATAAATAATTGCTCTTCATAAAAAAAAATATAACGATTAAAAAAATAAATGTAATAATTTTTAAATGATATAGGTATTTCTATTTCAAAATAAAATTTTTTAAATTGCATGGTCTACTTTTCTAAAAAATATTCTTATAAAGTACTGTCTATATATTGAGACCATGTTATACAGAGAGTCATGGGCACGACAATTCAAAAAATTGATGGCAGCGAACCAGAAAAACTGGCAAATAATAAAGCCATACGTGGTTAAAACTTAGGAAAAAGAATTGGGAATTGGACTGATAAACAGTGCAACCACCGTAAAATGCGGTTATAAAGTCAAGGTCTGGATGCGGATCCTAAACCAAAAGCATGATTTTAAAAATTTGAAATAAAAGGCAACCTCCAGAAGTAATGCGAAAGCGATTCCGGATGAAATAAGTCTTATCCATGATTGGGTATTTTTAATGGGTATACTATATTTTAGTATGTTAAGGATCGTCCAACGAGAGAGATGGTCAGCATCCCCGAAACAAAATTACTACCTGAAAACCTTAATAATGGTCAAAGTAAGGTTGATCGTAGAATAAACGGGCAAAGTATATTTTACTAATTTAGTAAATAAATCTGCTGATAATATATTATTTAAATTAATTTCCAAATAAAAACAATGCGGAATAAAAAACTACATATGTGTTTTGGGAACATTTTTTTTTTGGCTTAAATAAAATTTTATTTTTCTCTGCAATAGTGAATAGTGAAAGTTTTATACTAAAATATTCTTATAAGTTTATATATTCATATAATTATACCATGAAGCTATTTTACCAAAAAAATTAAAAATTAACAATAAATTGCTTTGATATTCAGATAACATATATTATGAATTTGTATATTACATATATGTATTTTGTTGACAATTTTTACTATAAATTTATATATTCATTCTACGCAGATTCTAGTTCGCACGGTATTTCGAAAGTAAAGAAATACCCAAAAATCCTAAGTAAAAAAAATGTGAATATGTATTTAACATTTAACTTCAGATAGATATTTTTTCCATATTCAAGAATAAATGTGATTTCGGCATTGTATGAGTCATTGAATAAAAATCCTTTCATATATTTTTATTTTAAAAAAAAAATAATAAATATTTGCTGCTCTTTTATTTTTGTATGCCACAAAGTAAAAGAATCTATGATAATGAAATTCCAGTCAGACACTCGAATGGAATTCGCTTTTGCAAATACAGATATGTAATGTATATATGTATGTATATAAATAAATATGTAAATGACCATTTTTCCAATTTCATTTAAAATTCGTTATGAGTTTTAAAGCTAAAATTTTGAAAACAAAAAGAACTTTAATATATTACATGAAAAAAGAAAAATACAAATAACAGATAAAATATATTAAAAATTTTTATATAAACAATTTTTAATATTCGTAAAAATTTTTGAAGATAGTTTTGATTTATCTGCTTCTTAATACACCCTAACTAAACTAAATGAGATTGTAACCATCAGTTTTTTATGGTGAATTAGTTTACGTTATATGGTATGGAAGACGATGCTTTTGGTAACCGAGGCAATCAGACTAAACTGACAAACGTACTCTATTCTATTCTATGTATATTCTATTCTATATTCAAATTCCTATTTTCGAGTAAAGTAGATACAAAGGAAAAGCCACATTATGTCACAACTTTTTTTTTCGTAAACAATCAAAAAAAAAGTGTTCACATCTACATTTAAAGTAATGTGACTTAAAGGGCGTATCTGTAATACACATAAATGAGATGATTAGATTTCCCTATCCATTGGAACGCTAATACTCGTTTTTCAAATTAGAAAAAAATACATTAAAACAAAAAAGAGGTTTTCTTATTAAAATATATATCAGTACGACAGCTATATATAAGTCTTAACTTATCTGAATTAAATTCAATATAAATTCAAAATATTATAAAAGCAGATTTAAATTTATATAAACATCTTTACAAATAAAAAGGAAAAATTAGTTTCAATTATTCCGAAAACTATATATGATAGCTCGACGGGATAAAACACCAATTTCGGTTATTTCACCAACTCATTAAGAGGCTATGCAATGTACGATTGAAAAGTGTTATTTCCATCTTAAAAGAAGTCCTCCTTTAACATTATGCAATTAGACCAGCGTACTTTATATTTGAAAAACATTATCGGATCACCTTTTTAATTATACTCTTTAGATCGGTTTCCAATATACCCCTATACCGCATCGACTATTGAAAAAGTGAGTGTTTTTTTTTAGTTAGGGTAAATAGGTGCTTTGTCTTGAGAATATAGCACAACTACACTGATTACGGTCATGTTGAAGCTAAAAAAGTCTATATGCTAATTTTCGTCTATTTAACTCAAATCCTCAGAGACCAATATAACAATAAAAACTTTGTTTATATAATAAATTATTTATAAATTATAAATTGATATTCATACATTTTGCAGATGTTTTATCTAAAAGATTTATTTGAAATTCATATGTAGTACTAAAAATGTTATTTAAATTAATATTTTACTTAAATAAATTATTTTTATTATTTACTTTTACTAATTATACTTTTTTCTATTTTTTTTTAGGTGAGTACTTTTTATATATATGTTATATTAACATATAACCACCGTAAGTAATGAAAAATTAAAATTATATAGAATGTACGATATGTCTCAGATCCATGTATTAGCGTTACCTAAAAGGTGTCTGATTTGTAGTCACAAAATTACAAAATTTTGAGCAATACTTTCATTAAGAATTATTATAACTCCATACCTTTATTTTATTTTACTTTTATTTTTTATTAAAAATAATTAATTATATTGTTATTACCATTATTGTTATTACCATATATTGTTTATTTTAAATAAATATTATTTTAATATAGTCATAAATTTGATACTTACTGTTCACTTACAAGGTTTAGTAGGAAATAGAATTTAGATAAAAATGTCTTAGGTTGCTATAACATTTTCTTATCAGATTTTAATGTTGGAGCAAATGTAATATCAGCCCTTACAATCAAGACAAGACCTCTTCCTTACAACTCCTAATTCCAATATTTTTGCTGAGATGAATCGATCATCAGTCTTCTATGCAGCTTAAATTATTTTGAGAATTATATCATTTGATCTTTGATTTATTATGTGTTATCGCTATGATGCTTTTCATAAAGAGCTATATAATGAGACTTAATTGAAATGAAACTTAGTTTAATAATTTATTTGAAAATTGAAATAGAATCAATATGCCCTATATTTTTGTTGCATTTTGTTTTTGTATACTTTTTTGTAAAGAAAACAATAATACTAAAAGTCAAATAAAGAAACGACATTCGTTTAGTACATCTAACGACTTTTATTTCCAAGAACAATATTTTAAACAGAGAAATGTGTAGGTCTGAATACATTTATTGTACATTGCACGGCTGCAATTACTGCTGGGTTAGTAAATAACTCAATCCTTTATCCTTAAAGATAGGAAAAATGTTCAAAAGTCAGCAGAGTAGAATAAGTAAAATTAAAATAATAGTAAGTAAATTATCAAAATATTTTTTTTATAAAAATATAATACATATAATATAATGTAAACATTTTTTTATTATTCATTTTTATAATTTTATTAATATTTTCATTTCTTTTTATATTACTTCGAATATCGAACTCTTCTACGAATGGTTCGAACACTAATCAAGAAACAACAACAAAAATTTTAATCAATTTATTGAAATTTGGCTGACCCTACAAATATCCATAAATATCCATTCCATATTGTCTTATAAAGTGTATACTTGCAATCTTCACAGTGTTGAAGTATAAGTTTCCTCCTAATACTTCTATTATTGAACCTTGAAACCACCGATTAATTAACTAAACCTTAAATAATATTAAGAAATAGGCAGCCATTTAAATATATCATTTTTTAACTATTACTCTACATATTATGAAATTTAATATATATTTACAAAATTTAAAGTAAACTATTCTTTTGTATAAAAATGTATTTATCTTTTAATATTATTATTATAAACTTTTTACCAAACTATTCAATAGTTCAAATTGAAACCATTTCTTTAAAAATATTATCTTCTTTAATAATTCAACATTTTTTCCAAAAAAAAGTTATAATCAGATATATTTTATAGAAAATAAATTAAAATATCTAAAATTAGCTGTGGCAATATAATAGAATACCACACCTACAAGTAATTACTTGCCACTTAGTGTATCGTGCATGCATTGCAACACATTAATCAAAAATGCATTTAAGCGCATAATTCTCACACACTTTAAATTTTTTTTAAACCGATTCTGTAACCACATGTGCAGTATTTTTTATTAATGAATTATTCATCAATACATTTTCATGATTGATTAGCATTGCTTATGTGGTTTGATAAATGATATTTTTTTAAAAATAATTTAAAAATTCTAATATTTTTGATTATTCCTATATTGTACGCTCAATTAAATAATTTCAAGTGATATAAATGGAAACCAATTATATGCTATCATACATACGTGGTATGGCTTAGGTGTGGTTAGATACTGACAACGTATAAAGATGCCTCATTTCAATAAAATAAGAATATTAGCATATAATAAATATATATTTATATTTACGTATAATAATAACAATTTAATGAAATTAACAAATTTTTATACATATTAATTTTTATTAAAAAAATTAAAATTTATTAAAAAACCATATAGCTCAATATGTTAATTAATATAAATGAAAACTATGGTGTTGTCCTTGCATACTTTTTAAAAATATTTTCCTTTGGTTGGAGTTAATATATAAGTATTATTAAAAAATACAAATGTCCTCTCATAAGAAATATTAATATTCATGAAGCTCATAGAACGTTTTAAAATTAATTTAACCAAATTAACATAACAATTATTGACACTTGAATTTTAATACAAAATACCTAGTCACGAAAGAACTTATTCAATGTGAAATAAATTTATTCATAATTCTTATCTCAATTCCACTCGATTTAATAATGATA